GGGCTGCTGCAGTCGAACACGTAACTGACACCACCACCAAGGTCGGAATACTGTTTGAAGACCTTCCGTCGGAAATGGCGGATGCTTTTCCAACCTGATGAAAATGGAGAAGCCAGCACCAGACGCTCTAACAGATGCTTACGGCTCTTCACGGCAGGCACTATTCATAATAGAAAAAGACGGAAAAACAACCCGCGTCTGGTGACACAGGGTGTGTGGTGACATAATTTTGTGTCAAATTGAAGATGTGAAAGTGCAGGGGTGGAGTCTAGCCTGTCAATCAGCCACAGCCTGATGGTGCCTCCTTGTAGGTGCGACCTTCTCATCTGGAGGGTCCTGGGAACCTCCCCCCACCTCTCTGCCTTCACCTTCCTGTTGATGAGCTGCACTGGGACCTGCGAGAGCCCTGTGAGGCTTCCACCGTAATCTTCCTGCATTTTGCAGCACTGTGTGTGGCGTCGTGAGTCTGCAGAGGGGTTTGTGGACTAGCATCAGACTCATGGACTTGAATTGTACTGGGCTGGGACGTTTTCTTGAGATACGATCACTCCTTGATATAAAGCTCTCTCTTACACATGAGTGTGTCTCTGGGTTTCTTTCTCTAGTCAAGCCGGCTAACACACAGGGGAATGATTGAATACACTGACGAATGCTGGCACATTATGCGCTCTCAATGGGGAATATCTTAGATACTGTATGAAATGCTCTCTAAGATACGAGTGTAGTTGGCAAAAAGCCGAGTGGAGAAGCACGTATGCAGCATGCTGTGGTTTATCTGAGCAAAAGACAAAGGGATTCAGATACACAGACGTATTTCACATTTGTGTATGTATGTGTGTATGTGCACGCAAGTGCATGTGTACATACAGAAGGGAGCTTCAGAAGGTTTGTGGAAGAATGGAATTAAAAGTTAGTGGAAGGCTTCTTCCTCTTTCAGGGACACAGTGGAGAAGCATTTAAAGTGGTTCCGTATCTGGCCTACCAGCATAGGCTGTCCTCCAATAAAAAATCCAGGCTGTCTCAGTCGAACCCCTGGTCATAGAACTGTTTCCCTTTATATAAAGAAGGTTGGTAAAGCACCAAACTCTGTATGGGGGATGTGCCCGGGCTGGCTTCGAGGGGTCCGTGCTGTGAGACCTGCAGCTCCCACGAGGGTGTCCAACACAAAACGCCATGTCAGCAGGGCCTAGAGCAGTTCCTTGTGTGCTAACTGTGCCCGGGACAGGCTCAAGCGTGCTTTCCTTACTGAGGAGCGAGTGTGTTGAAGGCACACATGCACAGCGTCAGAAAGCTAAATAAGTACAAGTGAAGCTTTTCTGAAAAAAGAAATAAATCCAATTACTTTT